CCTCCCCCCCCACACAAGCCTGCCAACTCCCAGCTCGCGGGGCTGGAGCAGCCCCCTGCCCACAGCAAGTCGAGAGGCTAACCGGCTCCCCGTTCACATCCCTAGCTGCGACAGCCTCCTCTACACCAGACACCCACCAACACCCTGAGGTTTCGACACAGCACTCACCAATTCGGGGCTGAGCCGCGATCTCGCTCTCCTGCGAGCTCTCTCGTCCCTGGGCGCAGGGCTCTTCCTCGCCTTCCCTCTGGCAGGACCTGTCAAGCGTGTCGAGAGGCTAACCGGCTCCCCGTTCACATCCCTAGCTGCGACAGCCTCCTCTACACCAGACACCCACCAACACCCTGAGGTTTCGACACAGCACTCACCAATTCGGGGCTGAGCCGCGATCTCGCTCTCCTGCGAGCTCTCTCGTCCCTGGGCGCAGGGCTCTTCCTCGCCTTCCCTCTGGCAGGACCTGTCAAGCGTGTATCCCAGCGACTCTGTGGGTGGCAAAGAGAAAGCCCATTGTATTGCGCTCCCATCGCTACGCTTTGACTGCTGACACAGCACTCAGCTGCTCAAAACGCCTTTGGGCCCTACTCAGATTCATGGGCAATGACCCCCGGAAAGCCCTAAAACAGGGAAAAGACAACGAGTACCTGCGCCGGGCTCAGCAGCGATCTCTGCCTCCTCCGCGTCCCCCTCCGCCCCGTCGCAGGGAGCATCTCCTCGGTCAATCCGTGCCAGCAGGTCGGGTTCGGAGAGCGCATAGTCTAGTGATGGAAAAACAAGTCAGCTCCCTGGCTCCATGCTGCACTGAGCAGTCAGAGATTTGAGGCACCGGTCACTGGAAGTGGGGCGTAACAGGAACAAAGCTCCTACAGAAACAAAGGCCTGGCGAGGGAGGCCTGCTGAAGTTCAGGGGTTTCCTTGCAGGGGAGAGTATTATTTTCCAGGCACTGAGCCAGGCCACGTCTACACGGGGAAGGTTTGGTGACAAAAGTGCTGTGGACATGCAAAACTCGCTAAAAGTGAAAACCGGTCAAATCAGTTTTTCTGCTCCCCTCCCCCAACCCGTTGTCGACATTTCATGGCCACATTGCTCCGTTGCCAGGGGAGCTAGCAAAGCATTGTGGGTAAGCATCCCGCAGTGCAATGTGGTGGGAAGGCAGAGCTGCGCTTCCTGGGATTCGCTCGTAGCTCTGGCAGCTCTCCGGGCTGAGGAATGTCAGAGCAGCAGAGCCGTCTCTCTCCAGCCCTCCCCCTTCAGCAGCAGCCTGCCGCTGGGTTCCTAGCACGGCAGAACAGGAGCACTCCAGTGATTTGCTCTTTGTTTGTTCCCCAAACAGAGCAGCTCACTCAGCTGTCAGACACTTCCCAGAGCTATGAAGGGGGAGGGGTACAGGTCTGCAGGGCAGCAGAGATCACAGAACACTGAGCAAAGCTATCAGGGCAGGCATTGTGGGATACTGGCAGAAGCCAGTTCTCTCGGTAAAACGAACAGCAGAGTCCACACTAGCTTGCTGTCAACAAGAAAGGGAGGGGAAAAGACAAAAGTCTCTTACAGGGATGGAAGTTTTTTGTCACCAAAAGTCCCACTGCAGCGTAAACGCTCTCACTGTTTTGAAGCTAAAAGGCAGGCTTTGGTGACAAAACATGCCTGTGTAGACAAGGCCTAACTATTAAGCTACTTCCCTATTTATTAGCCTGCAGGCAAGCCAGAGACCCTATAAGGAGTAAGTGATAGCTATCTGGTATCCCCAGTTCCTAAGACCAGAATGAGAACTCACTTGGGTTTTTAGTCTCCTACTTAGAGCTAAAGGCTAGATTACAAGTATCTGATCCCACTACAGGCTGTGCATTGATACCTCCCCTTTGTTCAGTTTTTCTCCCCACCTGACCCCGCTCTCCTAACTACTGCCTTTAATCTACCCTGTTCCCTTCAGAACAGGTGAGGTTTCCAACAGCCCAGGTCTCTCCAACACACAGGTCAGCTGCAGACCGTCAACGCCTCCATAAACACTGGTGCTTGTGTACTACACCAATAGCACACATGATCATGCCTCTCTCTAGCTACAACACCTCTGTGCACGTCCCACCTAACAAGTCTCTGCCTCTGGTGTTCCTCCTCTTTAATCCTCCTTTTTAGATGCGACAGTGGCACCACACATGGAACACAACAGGTTTCTGGATGCATACTTCCAAGCAACTGCACCCATTATCCACAGCCGGAGGGCACTGAAGGAGGAGAGACTAGGTCACCCTGTGTATCCTTCAATCTAGGCTGGTATTAGTAATGGGGAAAAAACGTGCTGATCCAGCCCAAAGACTCAATGTCGTGTGCCAGTCCCAGCTGTGAACAACAGCCCTGTGGAGGAGCAGGCCCACGAATACTGGTTCAGGTGTCCTGCAAGCTCAAGAACGTATATTTACCCAGCGAGATGAGAGATTCGTAGTTCCCCTTCATCACGTTCTTGTACAGTTCCTTCTGCCACTCCTCTAAGTTCTGCCACTCATGCTCAGCGAAGTACACGGAGTCGTTTTCAAATGCCACCGGGACCTGTGATCGCAGATGGTACCGATTCAGCCCCTTGCACGATACCCCAGTGCCACCAACTCAACTGCCCCTTTCATCTTCTTCAGCATTAAAGGGGCGGGGGGAAAGGAGTGGGCACAAGCACATTTCTCATTATGATCATTTAGCTTTACGGCTTCCCAACGAGCGCCAGGCACGGCACGGCAACGTGCGGTGCTCCCCCTCCGACGGCACAAAGCGAGGAGAGGCTCAAGGGGGAGGGGCAGGACTCAGCCCTCCAGAAGAGCACCATGGGAAGCCCGTGTCAATTCCAAAGCCCTGCTCCCCTTGGCCCACGGAACCGTCTCTGAGCAGGGCTTTCCAAACGGGTTTTCCCTCGTGACCCAGTTGAAGAAAATCGTTGATACCCCCACCCAACATCACTTACAGCTCTTGACTAGTGTGCGGGCCCCAAGGTGGAGCAGGGAACAGGGGGCTTAGGGTGCAGGAAGGGGGCGGCAGGGCTTACGTCCAGCAGCTCCCAATCGGCGGCGCAGCAGGGGTGCTGAGGCAGACTTTCCGGCACACCGGAGCACTCTCTGCCCCGGAAGGGGCCAGCAACAGGTCTGGCTCAGAGGCTGAGATGCACAAGGGACTCTACCCGCTGCTCTCACCTCCAGACACTGCCCCCCGTCCAGCTCCCAATGGCCGGAAGTGCAGAGCCAGTGCTCAGGGCAGGGACCACACGGAGCTCCGGGATCTCTCCTACCTAGGAGCCGGATTTGCAGATGGCCGTTTCCAGGGCACAGCGTGGTCTGTAGTGCCAGGGCATTTAGGATACCTGCCTTTGCTCCCCCCCCGTTGGACACCTGGTCATCCTACAGCAGAGGTGGGCAGAACCAGGCCCGGGGGCCGGATCCGGCTGGCCAGACATTTCCCTCCAGCCACCCAGCTGTGAGTCTGCACCTCTGCTGAGAGCTTGTGTTCAGCTGCCCCTCCCCTGCCTTGTGCCTTCCTGCAGCCCAGCTACTCCCAGGATTCTCCCTCAGCTGTGCATCGTAGGGGAAGGGAGAGGGAAACCCGGCGGAGCTGCTCCAGGTTGAAGCATGGCTGGTGAGTGACTCCCAGGAGCGGCTGCCCTGCTTGTAGGCTTTCAGTGCTCCCTAGGGCGGGGAAGTGGAGATGGAGACAGCAGAGCAGGGCAGCTTTCCCTGTCTTAAAGAGACAGCGTGTGGCTTCTCTCTGGAACGTACCCAGCAGCAGCCAGCACTCGCACACACACAGTCACCGTCACACACACACTGCCCCACGTGTGCTCCCAGTCTCTGTGCCACACACTCAGTCTGTGTCAAAGTAGGTCTCTCTCACAGTGTCTCTCTTTCACACTCACACACTCTGTAGGCCCCAGCCCTACCCCCACCCCTTCTGCCTGCTAGGAAGCCTGCAGCCAGCCCATGGCCACGTACCAACATTCATGATATGGGCCCTTATGAAAGTTACTGCCCACCCCTGACCTACTGCAAGGGAACCCGGTGCCCGGCATCCACACCCCAGACCTGGGTCATGGCCCGGACTTGGGAAACCACTGTCTAAGGGCGGGGCTGCGTGGGGATGAGGCCCCAAAGCATGGGCTCACTCCCCTCACACACACGATGTGTATTACTTCAGGCACTCTTAGGCCTACTCCTCTCCCAGGGTTACTGGGGCACTGCAATACCGCTCACCCCAGCATCCACAGAGAGCCAAGTTTACTGGGTGAGGGATTTATAGTAGAGGATGTGTGGCAAGCTTCATGGTCAGCAGAAAAAGTGATGAATAATTATCTAGTCTCGGACCCCGTTCAACGTCAACCCGGGTTTGATTTACTGTGAAGGCAATGGAGCCTTCTGAACTGGGTTTGCACCAGATGAAGTTGTGCTGCAGGAGAACTGTGGTGACATTTCAGAGATGGTCCACTTCCTGGTGATCTGTGTACCTTGAACATCATTGATTTGCGCACACACACACACCCACCCACCCCGCTTTTGTCCAGTAACTTCCCGTACAGACAAGCTTACTTCAAGAGTAATTCCAGGCACATCCCATTTTCCTGGCGCAAACAAGCCATGACCTTGTTTTATGTTATGCTAAGAGGGAGCTGAATTTGGTGGGCCTAGCTCTTACAGTTTAGGAGGAGTTTTTGTAGACAGACAGACTGTCTGTACAAAATAGACTGCACTAGATCTCAGAGGAAAATGAGCATGTGGCGTTTCTACATCAAGATGTAGGAGTGATCAACTTACAAAAATAAAGACTCCTGGAAGAGTGAAACCTTCTGAAAATGTTCAACTCCCAAAACACAAGGTGCCCATCTAACCTTCGACTTTCCCAGAGAACTCTCCACGGCCAACATGCCACATGAACACAGTGTCAGGCATACAGGAGTTTGGAATGTTAGAGTCAAGAAACATGAGGACTAGCACACTTCAGTTCTCCAATACTATTAGCTACAGCGTTACCTTGGGGATTTCCCCTTTAGTGCCTGGGGGCAGTCTCAGGATCCAGAAGTTCCTGTTCTTCAGCAGGTTCTCCATGTTCTCCAGGCGCCGCTGCAGCAACCCGTACTCCTGGATCAGCGTCCCCAGCGCGGCACATTTACTCTCCAGCTGGTTCCCAAGCTCCACTGCTGTTTTCTCACAGTCTATTAATTTCTTCTCCGCCATTCCTGTTCTCCCCTCCAGATCCAGCAACCGCGTGGCGTGAGAATCCACCTTCCTCTCCACAGCTTCGATTGCTGCCACACCAGCCAGAGAAAGCTCAGCCGTCTGAGTTTCTCGTTCTGAAGTTCGTTCAGGGACAGTGAGAGACGGTACAGGAGACGGGCACTGCGTCACTGCATCCAGGTCTGGACCCTGTTTGCAAAGACACACATTGTGGTTACACGGTCAGCTAACGAGAAGTAGGGCAAGTCGCTGCTCCTCTTAGCTCTGTCTGGTTTGGAATCAAGTCTGATGAAGCCTGTCCCAAAGGTTGCAAACAGCAATCAATGCACATGTCCAGCTGCTGCCCATACCTACGTGACCCACCCACCTCAGTTAAAGGGAGAGTTAATTTTCAATTTTTACATTGATTAGAAAAGGGGAAATTAACATCCCTCTCTGATATGTGCGCAGTCCCTTTTCCCTGTGCATGCCAGACTCTTAAGTAGTCTTTAGATTGTTGAGGGTCACAATATGGATTTGATACTATTGAGAAGCTCGTCTTGATAACCATCCTGCAGCTATAGTCTCACTGGAATACTCAAAACAAGGGACGTGTCTTGTCAGTTCTCAGGAGGGACGGCTGCGAGGGAGACTTTGGCTGCTGCTGGAAATGGTTTTGGAGATTTGGTTCTGTGCTGATATCTAAGCAAAGAATCAGCAGAGATTCTCAAGGCACTGTGCTACTGCAGAGTCATCTTGCATAGTACGTCTACATTGCATTATCCCTGCAGCACTATGATGCATGCCCCTCCAGCACAGGTAAAAACAGCAGTGTAGACTGAGGCACTGCTCATACCAGAATCTTAGGGTATATATCCTACATGGCTCTCTACATGTCCTCCCGTCTATGTGGCCTTCTGTGAGAGTCCTCCTCTATTCAATTCTGACATTTCTGTAGTGTCTTTCATCAGAAGAATCTTACCGCAGAGCACTCTCCAGGCTATTCAGTCAGTGTGTGATTTGGAGACAAAATGCAAGGTAAGCATTGCCATTCCCAGATACATTCTGCTCTCAGTCACTCCAATATGAATCTAGCGTAACTCCACAGGAGTCACTCTGGATTTGCGCCAGGATAAATGAGAGAAGAAATTACCCCACTGTTTAAAGGATCATGCTTGCCCTTAGAATTAGAGATGACAAAAGGGAGCACTATTAACTCCTTTTCTAGGCCACGTCAGCAACTGCACAACTGAGTTGACTTAAGTTGGGCAACAGCAGCAATTACTGAAGTTTGTCATGCCCACGCTCCCCTCCTCCTGGTAGCGATTGCATGTCCTCACCCACAGTGTTAGCACTGACTTGAGAAGGACAGCATGGCGGTCCGAGAACACTCCCATGTGGAGCAGGAGCTGAGAGGCCAGGGGACAGCCGGGATCCAGCATGGAGCTCTAAAGAATGCACAGCATGGGGACAGTGGGGCTCAAAGCTGAAAAAAAAAAAAACCCCCACCCCTTCCCCCCTTTTCAATTTCAAAAAAAAAAAAAAAAAACAGGGACTCTAACAGCAGCAAGACTGACATTCTAGTCAATTTCATGGCTCCAGCTATTAGCCGCCCTGGCAGCTAACAGGTGATGCAAGGAAAGTTGGGTCAATACAGACATTGTGTCACCCAAACGATGCCATCCTAAGCCCTATGCCTCTTACTGAGGTGGATTTACTAGGTGGGAGTAGCGGGTGAGTTACAGCTATGGAGAGGACACTACAGCATGTACATTTAGAGCATGGGTTTGTGGTTAGCTGCCTTACATCGAGGTAACTTGGTAATGTAAAAACACCCTAACATTATCTTAGAACTGGAAAAAGTATAGAGAAGGCAACCAAAACAAATAGGGGTGTGGAAAAACTTCCATATGAGGAAAGGTTAAAAAGACTGGAGCTGTTCAGTTTAGAAAACAGACAATTAACAAAGGACATGAGAGAGGTCAATAAAAATCACAACTGATGCGGAGAAAGTGAATAAGAAAGTGTCAGTTACCCCTTCCCATAACAGAAGGGCCAGACACCAGCCAATTCAATTCACAGGCAGCAGGTTTCAACCAAACAAAAGGAAGTCTTTCTTCACACAGCACAGAGTCAGCTGTGCTGCCAGGGAATGGCATGAAGACCAAAGCAGAACTGGATTCAAAAGAGTTAGATACATTCACAAAGGAGAAATCCATTCATGGCTATTAGCCAAGATGGTCAGGGGCACAATCCCATGCTCTAGGTGTCCCTGCACTTCTGACTGCTGAAACTGGGACCAGACGACAGGGGACAGATCACCTGATGGTTCCCTGTTCTGTTCTTTTCCTCTGAAGCATCTGGCATTGGCCACTATGGGAAGACAGGACACTGGGCTAGATTGGTTTGTTGGTCTGACCCAGCATGGCCATTCTTATGCAAGAGGTTTCCGTTGAATTTGTGGAACAACATGGAATTATTTTGGGGGGTCAAAACAACACGTATCAGTTCTCACAAGTGTTCAGCAAATGTTGCCCGTCATACACTTCAAAGGACTCGAGAATAAACTTTGGATCAAAACATGAGCTTCGAGGGGAGTGGCAGGTGCTCAACAGCTCTTAGTACTTGTCCCCTTGCTGGGGACGTAATTTTAGTTTTAAAAACAATCCACGTGGGCTTTCAACTCAGTTCTCTTTGCCTGACAAACACAAAGCCCTTCCCCGTGTGACTGCTCCCACTGACAATGGGACGAGGCATAAAGATTGCTCACATAAGAGATGCACAAGCCACTGTGTGTGGAGTTCAATAAGACTTATCAAGTGTGGTTTAGACTGAGAATTAAAATGTAATCACAGTACTAAACACTATTTACATGACATTCGTTTGTACCTCTCTCCCTGAGGCCTATGCAGCCATCTTTGTATAGAATTTTAAAAAATAATTTCCAACACAAAAAAACAAAAACAAAAACAAAAACAAAAAAACTTAAGATGGAGAGAGGCTTTGTTGCATTCAAGGAAAAGAACCATCTAGTCATCTGGGCCAGTCTTCTAGAAAGAGTGGTGGGAGAACTGCTGCTTGGAGACTTTGGACAAGACCACACAAAGGCCTGGAAATGGACAAGATAATTGTCTTGGTCTCACCTGCTTCTCAGGTACCTAATCCAAACTTGTCTGGTGCTTTATTTTTCTTCAATTTCCAATTGCTTGGTCTAGACTTGTGCTTTTTTCTTTTAAATTGATATTAAATCAACACACTTATAGATGGATAGCTGCAGATTTGCAGGGCTCTGCTTTATATCCACAGGTAGCTGCATGTGTGGATGTGGATATCCACGGATAATTTTTGCAGCTGGGGATGCAAATTTTGCATCTAGAACTTGGCAAGTGTGCAGCTATTTGCCAGGATCCACCTCTGTGGAGGAAGCTCTGGGTACCAGCTTAGCATTCAGACAGAGCTCTAGTTCTAGACACTTACAGGAAACCAATGGCTGAATAGCTCCTGGCACAGAACATACAACCAGTAACAGTCCAAGGCTCTGACTTTTCTGCATCTGCATTGGGAATGCAAGAAGTGGGTTTAAAAGCTAACCGTGTAAGCGCTGAAAGCCGCCGTGGTTACACGCGACTGCGGCTGTGCAGTACGAAGCGTAAATAAGCTTCATACGGCAGAGCCCGCAGCAAAGCTTCCCCAGGAGCAGGGCCACCAGCTCCTCTCGGGCTGGCTCCCCGCTGCAGGGAAGGCGCCTCCTCTCCAGGAGTGGAGCCGGCAGGCTGGGCCTG